TTTTGATAGGCTTTCACTCAAGCTGGCCTTGAAATCATGACAGTCCTGCCTTGGCTTTAAGTATTTACCTCAGTTGGCAACATTTTTTCTGGGTTGCTGTTATTTCTTTTGGAGACAAAGTTTTCACTGTATGACCCAGCTGGCTTCAAACTTGTAACAGTCCTCTTGGTTGGCCTTAAGCTTTGGTGTAGAGGCAGAGCCATGAGGCCTGGCCTTTCCATCACAAGTCCCTTTGACAGCTTTATGACCCCTTGCCTGATCTTTCACCATCTCTTTCCCTGGGATGTGTGTATTTTCCCTTGTAAGGAACATGTACTCTTGAATTTCTAGTGCATCTGAAATCCTCTTTCCCATAATCCTGTTTCCCTTGGGCATGGCTCACTATTTTGTATATATGTTTATGGTGCTGATCAAACCCAGGGCAGAGCATACATCCTACTGTGGAGTCCATAGCCAGTTTTTTAAGTTTTGGTTTTATGTTTACAGAGAGATCCAGCCCAGAGCCTTGAGTGTATTGAACAAACACTTCATAGGACTGTGCTCCTGTTTATGCTCCAGATGACCTGATTTGCCATTTGTTTGGGGGTTTTGTTGTTGTTGTTGTTGTTGTTTTGGTTTAGAGTTGGAGAGCATATCTTTGTTCTTGAACCTTAAAGTTTTTTTTTTTTTTTTTTTTTTTTTTCTGCCTTTGAATGATTTTCACTTCCATGTTCCTGAATGGAAAACTAACTCTGCCCCTTTTCCTAGTTGTTTCCCAGCTCTCAGTGTGTGAATGTTGCCCTCGTGTGGGTGCCCCTACACTTTCTCAGCAGTACCTAATGTTGTGTCTTGGCAGGAGCCTCAGGGAACCCAGCTGCTGGACCAGCAGTCACGTGGGCCTTGCTCTCTTGAGATCAAGCAGTTTCTGGAGTGTGCCCAGAACCAGAGTGACGTCAGGCTCTGCGAGGGCTTCAACGAAGTACTGCGGCAGTGTAGAATTGCAAATGGTGGGTGGCTTGTGTATCTCTCAGCGTGATCATCCTGAAAGCTGTAGGGTGTTGGAGTTAAGTCCCCAGTAGGACTTTTTTTAAGACAGGGATTCTCAGTCTTTCTGAGTCTTCTTAATGGCTCAACCCTTTAACACAGTTCCTTAGGTTGTGGCGCCCTCCAACAATAATTTTTTGTTGTTGTTGCTACTTTATAACTGTAATTTTGTTACTGTTATGAATTGTAGTGTAAATATCTGATGTGCAGGATATCTGATTCATGATTCCAGAAAGGGGTGGAGACCCGTAGGTTGAAAAAAGCTGAATTAGATGGAAGTAGAGTGACAGGGCATTAGTTTTTAAGAATGGAATTAAGAGGCATTTATCCAAACCAGGCTGTGATTGTCCACACCTGTAACACCAGCGCTCAGGAGACAGAGGCAGGCAAAACCTGTATCAAAAAAAGAAAAGAGGGAGAGAGATGCTTGTCCAAGTTTATTAGAACTTTTTGTGGGCCTGAAATCTAGCAAAGTGGCCTTTGTCTACAGACACGTGCACCACGTCTTTGTTATGGGAAGGGTAGAATTAAAGCTTGATTGAAGGAAACCTGAAATGGCTTGGAAAAGAAAACTGTCTTTGGGCATTGTTGAGTATCTTCTAACTTAATTTTTTTTTTTTAACAGGTTTAATCTAATCAAGAAATTCAAACTGAAGAAATGTAAATTGGCTCTGCATTAATTGGTAGAGCAAGTGTGGACCCTTATTTCTAATATTCCATTGCTTCAGAATGGCATGAAAGAATTCTAACTACAGATGTTCACCGAGGCTTGAAGTGGTGGTAGCTGGGCAAGTGTTCAGCCTCCTTGAACTAACTGTATTGTGTTTTGTGAGATAATAAAAATAGAGTTTAATTCTGAGGTGTGTGGTAGTGTTGTTATGTAGTGTGAAAAGTGTGTGTGCCTGCTGAACATAATGGCATTCGTAGAGCAGAGCTGTATCGGCATGTCTTCCGTTCGGCTAGTCCTGTGGCGGGACCCCTAACACAACTCAGGATCCACAGCCAGGAGATTATTTTGTTATTGCTTCATAACCAGCTCTGCTGCTGTTAAGAATCATACTGTAAATACCTGATATGTGACCCCGGTGAACGGATTGCTGTTGTCTTGGGTGCTGAGTTAGCATCCACTCAGCAGATCTGGCAGTTCACTGCTTGCCTAAGGTAAAGCTCAGCATCAGTCAAGCTGCTTATTTAAATGATTCTAGCTGCTCCAGGCCCAGGTCCCATAAAAGTGTTACTTCAAAAACGGTGTATAGCAGTGTGGGATCCTGCACACCCAGCAAGGATCCCTCTTTGTTTTCATTCCAGCAGAGGGGGTCCTTTGCCTGGCTGTGTGCTCAGATTATGGCCTCACACTCTTTAGTTGGCTAACTCAGAATGGCACAGGGTGCCACTTTTGTGAGCAGGGTGCAGCCTGAGCACATTTATCTCCAAAGTACTGACTCTCAGGGGGTTTTAATTTTTGCCAAATCGTTCCCTTAGCAAAAAATTTGAAAAGGCTTATTTTTAATTGATATGTATGAGTGTTGCCTCAGAAACCGGAAGATATCAGAGCCCTTGGAGCTGGAGTTGAATGGCTGAGAGTAACCGTGTGGATGCAAGAAACAGCCTGGTTCCTGCAAGAGCAGCCAGTGCTCCTAACCACTGAGTCACCTCTCCAGGCTCTCCGCTTTCATATGGGTTTCTTTTCTGTCTTGTTTTTTACAAGGCAGGGTATCTCCACCTAACAGCCCTGGCTGGCCTGGAACTCAAAAATCCACGTGCTTCTGGGATTAAAGGCCAAGGCATGGGCCGTCACACCCTGCTGTGTGGAGTTTCATTTAACCATTTGATGGAAAAGACAGTACATTCTTGTTTACCTTTACCACATGCTTAACGAGGTGTGTCATGGAGTGGGTGTGCTACTCAGTGGTGGCTCAAGGTCCAGTCTTGAGCCATGCCAGCAAACTTAAGTGGGTAAGTGGTAAAGTAGACATTTTAAGCAATGGGCGTCCTGTGGCCACTAAATACTGTGTCACTGCACTGAGACAGTCGGCTGAAGCTGGTTTCATTTGTTACCCTTTGGGATAGGGTCTCCTTATATAGTCCAGCTTAGAACCAGATTGGTCTAAATTGACTATCCTGCCTCAGCCTCCGAGTACTGGGATTGGAGGTTGTGATAGCATAACCAGTTTAAAAACCATCCCTAGCCACACCTTTCATCTTAGGGAGAAAAAATAGGTCGTTTCCCTGTAGTTTTTGGATATTTCTACTTCCTGCAAGGCAAGTCTAAACCCGCCCCTTAAATGCTTGTGATTGAACCCAGCACCTCAGAAAACCTTGTCATGGTGCTCCAAACTCTAGCCCCATTCAGGGATTGCTCCAGGGTTAAACCAAGCTGGGCATGGTGGTACACGTAATTCCAATACTTGGAAAGCGGGCAAGAGGATTGCCACAGGTCTGAGCCAGTCTGTCTCACACAAGGCTAAGTCAAATATAGTTGTAAATCTGAGGAGAAATAAAGGGTCATTGCCATGCTTGGTGGTGCACACCTCTTAACACAGAAAGGCAGGAGTGCAAACTGGAGGACAGCCTAGTGTAGCGGAAGTTTTGGTTTCTTAAAAATGCACTTATGTAAATGTTTTTTGTTTTAATCCCAAGTGTGGGATATGGGACTGCTTTAGTTTGTGAAGAGCTGATTGCAGGCTCCGGCAGAGGGGTATGGTCTTTGCCAGCTGGAGTTAGTGAAGTTCTGAGGACTGTGGGAGAGAGAAATATGAGAGCACAGCAAGAGCAAGGGGATCAAGGAGATGGACAGACTGAGGGAAAGCTTCAGAGAGTCAGAGGAGAAGCTTGTCCCTTCGGCTGCTCTGGGGCTACTGCCATTTGCTGTTTGCTGTTCTGGACTGCTAGGTATCCTGACAACTGATACTGGTATTGCCCCAAAAGAACCCGCTGACCCTAACCAGCTGGAACTAAGTCTAAAGAGGTCTACATCCCCTTTCCCTTCTAACCTTTCATACCTAGGGCTGGAGGAGTGGAAGGGAGGTAGAGGCATAAGAAACCCCAAAGAGAGTTTAAAAACAGTGCCAACAGCCTGGTCTACATAGTTTCTGGGTAGCCAAGGCTGTGTAGCAAGACTCTTGTCTGTAAAAACAATAGTGCATTCCTTTGAAAGTTGGTGCTGCCAGACTGGAGAGATGGATGGCTCATGTTAAGAGCACTTGTTGCTCTTTCAGAGCACCTGAATTTCCCATACTCACATAGTAGCTCATAAAAGTCTATAACTGCAGTTCCAGGGGATCCAATGGCCTCTGACTTCCAAGAGTATAAGGCATTCCAGTGGTACACATATGTACTATACCAAAAGATTCAAACACAAAGTATCAAAAAACAGGACTGGAGGAACTAGCTCATCTCTTAAGATCCCTAAAGATCTGCATTTTGAGAATTTGATTTCCAGTACACACATAGAAGTGCACTCGTACACATAATCATTTTTCAAGACAGGGTTTCTCTGTGTAGCCTTGGCTGTCCTGGATTAGATTTGTAGACTAGGCTGGCTTCGAACTCACAGAGCTCTGCCTACTTCTGCCTCCCTGAGTGCTGGGATTAAAGGCATGTGCTACCATGCCTAGCTTCATACACATAATTTAAAAGTTTTGTTTTTTGAGACAGGGTTTCCTTGTGTGATCCTGGCTGTCCTGGAATTCACTATGTAGACCAGGCTGCCCTGGAACTCAGAAATCATCCTGCCTTTGCCACCCAAGTGCTGGGATTAAAGGCTTGGGCCACCACCGTCCAACAAAAGTAAATTTTTAAAAATGCCAAGGCTTTGCCTCCTCAGAGCCATTTGCTTAGTCTCGAGCCACGTACACTTTCACCAGCCTCCGCCAGGTGTCACTCTTGATGTAGTTTTGCCCCCTGGCCTATTTCTACTGGCCCTTGGCCTGCATCCCAGGTTTGCAGTTGTGGTTTATTTTTGGCAGACCAGCTTTCCATCACCGAGTACCAAGTCCCAGAAGAAGAGCAAGAGAGCAACTCCAACAAGTGTCTGCTCAGGACGCAGCTTCAGTTCTTTGTAGTCCCCTGTCTCCCAAGGGCTCCGGGACCTTTGGAATTCTTGTTACTTCTATTCAAGGGCCTACAAAGACCTAACGGTGAGTAGCCAGGCAACAGTTGGGGAGCAGTGGGATTGTGAGTCAAAGACAGAGCCCCCCAGATATGTTTGACCTATTTCCTCTCAGCCCTGGGGGAGCGTGGGTTCTCAGAACACCTGTCAGGCAAGTTACCTACAGATCATGTGTCTGGCTGTGCTTTCTGGCTAGCTTTCTGGGAGGGGTGTAAGGTTCCAAGACTTCGGACCACCCGCTTTTATTTAGAAGGCCTCCCATTCCCCGGAAAGTCTCAGAAGGGGCTAATGGAGCAGCAAATAGAGTCTCTTAGTTCGCTCCAGTCAGAGATTATGAACAGGAAGATGGACACACACATATTATCAGAAAAGGTCGAACGCAGCCAGAATTTGGCCAGCCTGGCTCAGGACGGCACGCCGGTGTGGGCCCAGTACTTGCTCTAAACCCATGCCAAGGCTGTGGTGTGGCTGTGATAGGTGAGGGACACATGACCATCTTGGGATTTTAGAATGACCTTTCAGCAAACAGGCTTGTTTTTTGAGGGGAACTAATGCCTTCAGTCCTATTGGCTATTGCTATGGTGCACAGGCCAGGTTCCTGCTGTCTATTGGCGAAGGAGACAGTTGTTATTCTAAACCTTCCTCTGGTAACCAGGCACCCAGTGGCTGGCCACAGGCTTCCTGCAACAGCCAGCTTGAGTCAGCCAGAACTGCTGAGTGGCTGGTCAGCACATTGGGCCCCTGGGGACACCAGGTTTTCTCAGAAGTGGATGAGAAAGATGTGGCTTTTGCCTGCCTGCCTCTTCCTATTGCTGGGTGATTTTCTGCCTTTCTCAAACTCTTGGTCTGAAGCAGGAGTTCAGTTCCTTGGCAGGAGCCTCTGTGTTCCTGAAACAAGACGCGCCAGCTTTTCAAGCTTCTCCACATCCAAGCTTGACCACCCTGGCTCTGGGCTGAGGGCGTAGCTCAGTGACAGGGCGCTTGCCTAGCATACTCAGTGCTCCGGGTTCCATTCCTAGCACCTAAAAATAAAAAGAAAGGGGGCTGGAGAGATGGCCCAGCAGTTAAGAACACTGACTGCTCTTCCAGAGGACCCAGGTTCAATTCCCAGCACCCACATGGCAGCCCATCACTGTCCGTAACTGCAGTTTGAGATGATCTGACATCCTCAAGCAGACATATATGCAGGCAAAAGACTATGGGACATAAAATTGAGTAAATTTTTAAAATTAATTCAATTTACATCTCAGTCATAGGCCCCTCCCTCTTCTTCCAATCCCACACTCCCTCCCACATCCCCTCTCCCCTATTCCTCAGACTAGGGGAGCCCCCCCCTCACCCGGACATCCCAGCTCATCTATTCACATGAGGACTGGGTTTATTTTCCTCTCCTGTGGCCTGGTAGTGAAGTTCCATTAGGGGGAAGTGATCAAAAAAGCAGGCAACATAGTCCATGTCAGAGATATCCCCCACTCCCCTAACTAGTGGGCCCACATGAAGGCTAAGAGCCCATCAGGCTTACCTTCTTGGGGTCTGTGCATTATAGTATGTATATCCTGTACTATATGACCAAAATCTGCTTACAAGTGAGTATATACCATGTGTGTCTTTCTGGTTCTGTGTTACCTCACTCAGGATGATCTTTTCTAGTTCCATCCATTTGCAAATTTCATGATTTTCTTGTTTTTAATGGCTGAGTATTAGAAGCATATAAGGAGGAAATGAATGGATCTCTCAAAGAAATACAGGAAAATACAACCAAACAAATAGAGGCTATCAAGGACAGACAGGAAACCACAATCAAACAGGTAAAGGAAATGAATAAAACTGTTCAAGACCTGAAAATGGACTTAGAATCAATACAGAAAACACAAACGGAGTAAATATTTTTTTAAAAAAATTAAAAAAAAAAAAAGAAATCCTGGGCGTGGTGGCCTGTGATTCCAGCACTCAGGGAGGCAGAGGCAGGCAGATTTCTGTGAGTTTGAGGCCAGCAAAGTGAGTCCAAGACATCCAAGGCTACATAGAGAAACTCTATTTCAAAAAAAAACCACAATAAAATAAAAAATAAGAGTAACTGATTTGTGCCAAGCATAGAGGCACATGCCTTTAATGCCAGCACTCAGAAAGCAGAGGCTTATGGATCAACATGAGTTTTAGGCCAGCAGGGCTATATAGTGAGACCCCATCTCAAATAAATAAATAAATAAATAAATAAATAAATAAATAAATAAATAAATGAAATTTACTTGCTGTGTTGTGCAGGCTGCTCCAGCACTAGGCATGTCTTGCTTGGCATTGTTAGGTAAGGTCTGGGGCATTCCATCTGCCAAGGCCTGTACCAGAGCATCAACTGACCATTGAATCATACCCAGCTTTTACCACACACCTATGCTGGACAGAGGACACAAAGATGCCCAGACATCACAGTCAAGCGGGAGACGGTACCGGAGGCTAGATCAAGAATCACTCATGAAGTACTTGGCTTTCTTTCGTAAGATTATTTTGATTCTATGTGGATGGGTGTTCCATCTATGCGCCACTTGCCTGCTTGGTCCCCATGAAGGCCAGAAGAGAGAACCAGATCCCCTAGAAGTAGAATTCTAGATGGTTGTGAGCTGCCATGTGAGTGACGGGAATTTGAACCTGGGCCTCTGCAATAGCAGCCACTGCTTTTATTCCCTGAGCTTTCCCTCCAGTGTTTCTCCTTTTTATTTTTTCATTGATACAAGGTCTCATGTAAGCCTGGCTGGCTTAGAAGTTTTTATGTAAACCAGGCTAGCCACTAGGCCTGTCTTTTTGTTTGTTTGTTTTGTTTTGCTATTTAAGGCAGCGTCTCATGATGTCATTCTGGTTTGCCCAGAACTTGGTATTTAGGCCAGGCTGGCCTGGAACACATAGGGTGATCTGCCTGTCTCAGCTGTGAGCCACCATACCAGGCAATGCTTGGCTTATTTAATGGCTATTCAGCCAGGAGTAATGGCTCATGCCTGTATAACATGAAGGCAGGAGAGTTGCAATTTTGAGGTCCACCTGGGCTATGTAATTAATTCTGAGCCAGCCTGGGCTATCTAGAGTGAGGTGTAGCTCAACAACAGGTATATGTTTGTTTGGTTTGTTTTTGTTATTTTTGAGACAGGATTTTGCTCTGTAACAGAGCCCTGACTGACCTGAACTCACTTTGTAGACCAGGATGGCCTTGAACTCAGAGATCTTCCTGTCTCTGCTTCCCAGTGCTGGAATTAAAGGTGTGTGCCTTTAAACAAAACCTCTGTTTGGCCTCAAACTAACTCCAGCCATATCCTCTAATCTCCTAGCTTTCTCATTCTCTAGTTCATTCAGTCTTCACTGAGTTTTCTCTCTCTCTTACTGTCTGGGTAAAACTGCCTCCCTCCCTCTCTCATTGCCTCTTAAGTAGTTCCCTTTCCTCTATCCTTGCTTGAGAGTTGAGAGTATCCTATTCTGTCAAGTCTTTCTCTGATTAGTCACTGTTCCTGCCACTCAATTAGGCATCACTTTCAAGCATGGGCACTTCCTTCTACAAGCTAACTTTACCTTCCTAGTTTGGGATTAAAGGCATCTACCAGCACAACTAAGCTTTTCTTTACCTGAAACTTGCTCTTTACCAGGCTATCTATCTATATCTATCTATCTATCTATCTATCTATCTATCTATCTATCTATCTATCTATCTATCGTCATTTCAAGACATGTTTCTCTATTTTAGCTCTGGCTATTCTGGAACTACATTGATGGTCCATGCCTTTAATCCCAGCAGTTTGGAGGCAGAGGCTGGCAAATCTCTGTGAGTTCAGGCCCAGCCTGATCTACGGAGGTAGTTCCAGGACAGCCAGGACTACACTGAGAAACCCCGTCTTGAAAGAAAGAAAAAGAAAGGAAGAAAGAGAGAGAGAAAGAAAGAAAGAGAAGAGAAAGGAAAGAAGGAAGGGAGGGAAGGAGGGAGGGAGGAAGAAAGGAAGGAAGGGGTGGTGAGGGTAGGAGGTTGACTGCTTCTTTCTGTACCCCTTTCAGAGGTCCTTGGGATCCTCCTGAGACCCACCTGACCATGACCCGGGATGAGGACCTCCCTGACTCCCATTCTGCACAGGGCTTCTATGAGAACTATGAACCCAAGGAGATCCTGGGCAGGTGAGACAAAGTCCTCACCTCAGCCCCTTCGATCTTAGAGATTGGCTCTACCCTCAGGCTAGCCCCATTGCTGACCCCTTAGCTCCTCCCCACAGGGTGAGAAGGGAATCCTGTTGTTATATCACAGGACAGAACATCGGTGCCTTTGATTTACTGATTGATTTCATTTTTATTTTATGAGTACGAGCCTTTCACCCGTATGCATGTTTGTGCACCGCATGCATGCCTGGTGTCCTTAGAGGTCAGAAGTAAGCGTCCAATCCCCTTGCAGTTCCGGACTGTTGTTAGTTGCCATGTGGGTGCTAGGAACCGGACGCAGGCTCTCTGAAAGGGCAGCAAGTTTTCTCTCCAGCCGCTGTACCTTGCCAGCCTTTGGTAAGGGACTCCCCTGGAGTGTGGGGTCACGAGGCCATCTGTTCTCTGCCCACAAGGGGAGTCAGCAGCGTGGTCAGGCGCTGTATCCATAAACCTACGTGCCAGGAATACGCGGTAAAAATCATCGACATCACCGGCGGAGGCAACTTCAGCGCTGAGGAGATACAGGAGCTTCGGGAAGCTACGCTCAAGGAAGTGGACATCCTGCAGAAGGTCTCAGGATATCCGAACATCAGTGAGTGGATCCTCCAAACTCCCCTATTCTCCTGGGGCGCGAGCCATGGCGGCGTGCTTTGCAGTGACTCTTCCCTTAAAACCCAAGTGGGGACATGAAGAGCCGTAACCCGTCCATCTTCACCTCGTCTTCGATGGCTCTGCCAGCCCATTGTTGGGGCTCAGGGTCACAGGTGCCACCCTCACTACACAAAGTGGGTATGGACAGCGCTGGGAGTGGGAGAAGGTGGGGTGAGGGAGCACGTGGTCCCTCCCACACCCCAGTGATTACCTTGGAGCCCCCTCACATTCCCACCCCTGCCTTTGAAGCCAGCCTGCCTGTCTCTGTGTCCTGTGTCCCGCGCCAAGGCTCCTCTGCACCTTGAGACCAGCTAGCCTTTTCCATTTCAGTACAGCTGAAGGACACTTACGAGACCAACACTTTCTTCTTCTTGGTATTTGATCTGTAAGTACCCAACCCTGGAGCCACCATTTACCCTGGGGCTTATGAAGCCTTCCACTGCCCACGAGGCTGTCAGGGGGCCAGCATAATGAAACACACGGCAAAGTCAACAGTTGATTCAGGGCCATACTGCCAGGTTTGAAACCTAGGATACTACTAATGCAGTACACATATACATACACACATATATATAGTACATCAAATATATATGTTTGTTTATATATATGTATATATAATTTTCTTAAATTAAAAAAAAAAACGTTTTTAGACAGGGTCCTGTTGGGTAGCCCTAGACTAGCTATGAAGACAAGGCTGGCCTTGAATTCACAGAGATCCTCCTGCATCTGCCTCCAAAAGTTCTGGGATTAGAAGCATGTGCTACCATATATATAAAGTCAATTTCAAATATATATATATATATATATATATATATATATATATATATATATATATATATATATATATGTATTTGTTTTGTGTCTTCTGGTTTTTCGATATGGGGTTTCTCTGTGTATCCCTGGCTGTTCTGGAATTCACTTTGTAGACCAGGCTGGCCTCAAACTCAGATATTGGCTTGATTCTGCCTCTCAAATACTGACGTTAAAGACTTGTACCACCACCACACATTTTTATGATCAGTTTTTATTAGAAAAAAAAATTACCAACCCATGCCTTTAGTACCAGCATTTAGGAGGCAGAGACAGGCAGATTTCTGAGTTTGAGGCCAGCCTGATCTACAGAGCAAATTTCAGGATGGCTAGGGCTACACAGAGAAACCCTGTCTTGAAAAATCAAAACCAAAAAGAGGAAAAAAAAAGAAAAAGAAAAAAAATTTCCATCTGGATAGTGGTGGTGCATGCCTTTAATCCCAGTACTCTAGAGGCAGAGGAAGGCAGATCTCTGTGAGTCTGAGGCCAGCCTGGTCTACAGAGTGAGTTCCACATAAAGAAACCCTGTCTCCAAAAAGGAAAAAGAAAGAAAAAAAGAGAATTCCTCTGAGTGAGGTCATTCATGCCTTTAATCCTAGTACTTGGGAGGCATAAGCTGATGAATCTCTATGTATTTAGGACCTGCCTGGTCTACACAGTGAGTTCCAGGCCAGCCAGAGTATATACAGAGACCTGTCTCAAAAACAAATTTAAGAAGGGGATGGGTGGGAGGGGAAGGAGAACAGGAGGGAAGAGGAGAAGGGAGGAGAAGAGAGAACTGTACTTCAAAGCCTGGCTTGGTGATCCATGTCTACAATGTCTGCCTTTGGGAGGCTGAGGCAAAAGGATCAAAAGTTTGAAGACAGTTTGTGCTACATAGCCACACCCTGTCTCAGAAAATAAAACCCCCAAATTAAAATTCAATCATTTTTATTTTATTTTTTTCAAGACAGGGTTTCTCTGTGTAACCCTGGCTGTCCTGGAACTCACTCTGTAGACCAAGCCGGCCTCAAACTCACAGAGATCCACTCGTCTGCCTCTGCCTCCTTCCATCTGCTGGGATGAAAGGCATGTGCCACCACTGCCCAGCTTCAAGTCAGTCCTTTTACCTTTCTGATCTAGAGCATGGTCTCTGCTAGAGCAATCTAGTTTTACCCTGGAGAGCTCCTCGGGACACCAGTAAAAATAGCTTCCAAGCCACTTCTCTAAAGGTTAAAGACATTTGAGCTGCCCCCAAAGGTTACAAAGGACAGAGTGCTGTGAATACAGCAGGATGGCTGCAGCTAGGCAGGGGAAGGGGGCTTCCTAGAGCCTGTCCCGTGGTTAAATGGGAAAAGATAAAACTGGGCACAGTGGCACAGTCCTATAATCTAACTTGGGAAGGTGAAGCAGGAGGATTATTACCACGACTCTGATGTTAGCTTGGGCAACAGTGTAAGACCCTGTCCCAAATTTTTCTTGTATAAATGATAAGAGAGGAAACAGACAATGTTGAAGGCTCACCAGCTACAATATAACATTTTCTGTCGTAATTTTCTCCAGTAAGTTGTCTCCTTAAATTAACTCTGATGTCCTGGATGCTGGTGGTGGCACATGCCTTCAATCCCAGCACTCCAGAGGCAGAAGCAGATGGATCTCTGGTCTATACAGTGAGAGTAACCCTGGCTCAAAAAACTAAAAACAAAACTAACAAAAAAAATTAATGGTGAGGCATAGATAAGTCAAGACACCCTGTGTTGGCTAGTTTTATATCAGCTTGACACAAGCTGGAGTCACAGGAGAGGTGGGAGCCTCAATTGAGAAAAACGCCTCCATCAAATCTAGCTGTAGACAAGCCTGTAGGGCATTTTCAAGTGCTGGGTTTAAAGGCATGTGCCACCAGGACTGGTCTGTCTCTCCATTATTTAAACCATTTATTTTGATCATCTTTAGTCTTATGTGTAGGTGTGTATGTGTCTGTCTGTTTGTGAGTATGTCTACATGTGATTATGTACAAGTAAGTGCAGGAACCTATAGAGGCCAGAGGTTGTTTGGAATCCTGTGGAGCTAGAATTATCCACAATTGTGAGTGGCTTGAATTGGGTGCTGGGAACCTAACCCAGGTCCTCCAGAAGAACAGTAAATGCTCTTAACTGCTGAGCCATCTCTTCAGCTTTCTGGTTTTTGTTTTGTTTGAGACAGGTCCAATGTAGCCCAAGCTAGCCCAAGCTAGCCTACAACTCACTATGTAGCTGAGGCTGGCCTTGAACTGCTGATTCTCTTGCTGCCATCTACCAAGTACTAGGATTACAGGTGTATGTCGACACAGCTGGCTCTTAATCTTATAGTGGACAGACTCTAGTTCCCCAACACTTCCACTGCTGATGCTTTCCATTCGCTTCCTGGCAAAAACTCCCAAGTCATCTAGATCTAGTTTTGGGGTCCAGGGCCTGAGACGTAGATGTCTGTCTTCCACCCCCAGTGCTGACACCCCCAGGGTGCCATGAATTTTCATAAGCAGGGACAACCTATTTCCTAAGCCTCCACTCCCTCCCTAGGTTCCTTCCCACGGGGGAACAGCCCACCTTGCCTTTGGCGGCAGCAGGGTAAAAACACAGCTCTGGGGACGGGTTAAGAAACTGGTGTTCCTGGAAACACTTGGTTCCCACAGGATGAAGAGAGGGGAACTCTTTGACTACCTCACTGAGAAGGTCACCTTGACAGAGAAGGAGACCAGGTAAGGGGTGTGTGCCATCTCCACCTTTTCTCCAAGTCCTGGCATCACCGTGGTCTGACAAGAGGCCTGGTGTGCATGTTTTAGCTGAGGTCATGCTGGCTTCTGTGACCTCCCAGCTTCCCGGCTCAATCTATAGTCTAGATTCTAGACTGTCCCAGCCTATCCTGGATCCCCCATTGCATGTGGTATGGTTGGTACGTGGGCTTTGACCTCTTTGAATCTTCTCTCTGTTGAGTGGAAGCATAATATCTAGAGAAACACTCAGTTCTGTTGTATGGGAAAAGATTTGCCTAATTGTAGAATCAAGAATTAAGCCAGTGTGCCTGCAGAGATGACTCAACAACTGAAGCACTTGTTACTCTCATTTTTGTTTTTGGTTTTTGAGACAGGGTCTCACTATGTAGCTGTGCCTGGCTTGGAGCCTGATATGAAGGCCAGGAAGGCCTTGAACTCCCAGAGATCTGCCTGCCTCTCTGCCCATAGAATGTTGGCATTAAATACTTGTACCACCATGCCTGGCACACTTGCTTTTCTTTTGGAGGACCTAGGTTCGGTTCCCAGCACCCATATGGATGGCTCACAGATGTCTGTGACTCAGTTCTAGAGGACTTGATGCCTTCTTCTGACCACCTTGGGCACTACATGAATGTGGGGGATACATGTATGACCAGGCAGATACAGACAGTGAATCAATAAATACAGCCTATGAAACAAGCAAAAAATGCCAGTGGGCTTACTAGTAAGGTGCTTGCCCAGCATGTTTAAAGCCCTGACTTCCATCTCTAGCACAAAACAAAAAAATGAAAACAGACTGAGGTATGGTGATGAATATCTGTAATCTTAACGATAGGGAGGCTGAGGCAGAAGGATCATGATTTCAAGGCCAATCTGAGTTGCATGGGACACGTTGTTTTGAAAAGCAAAAATAGGGGTAGGCCATAGTTCAGCTGGCAGAGTGGTTGCCTAGCATGCTGGGATGTTTTATTTCCCAGAAATGCATAAACCGGCCATGGTGGCATGTACCTCTAATCCTAGCATTTGAAAGATGGAAGCAGGAAGACCAGGAGTTTAAGGTCATCCTCAGCTACATAGTAGGTTAGAGGCTAGCCTGGGCTACAGACCTTGTTACAATAAAATAAAACAGCCAGGCCTGGTGGTGGAAGACATTAATCCCAGCATTCCAAGAAGCAGGCAGGATCTCTGAGTTTGAGGCCAGCCTAGTCTACAGAGAGAGTTTCCAGACAGCCAGGAATACATAGAGAAACCCTGTCTCGAAAAACAATGACGATGATAACAATAATAAAAGAAACAAGCCAATGCCATGCCTCTACCTCCTTAGAAAGATCATGCGGGCCCTGCTGGAGGTGATCAGCACCTTGCACAGACTCAACATTGTCCATCGGGACCTGAAGCCGGAGAATATCCTTCTGGATGATGACATGAACATCAAGCTCACAGACTTTGGGTTTTCCTGCCAGCTGCAGCCAGGAGAAAAGCTCCGAGGTCTGGTACCCTTGGCCTTGGCCCACAGAGGTGCCTCAGGGATGGAAATTGCCTGAATTTCTCCCCAGAATAAAAATTCTAGCACTTCAGTGGTTGAGTGGATGGCTAGCCCTCACTGAGGAGTGGGTAAAATGGGATACACAAGAATGAGGACTTGAGTTTGAATCCCCAGAGCCCATGAAACTCCAGCACGGGGTGGGCAGCTATGAAGAGCCCTGGGGATTGCTGGCTGATCTACCCGAGCCAGCCAGCACTAGGCCAGTGAGAGATCCTGTCTCAAAAATAAGATGGAGAGCAATCAAGGAAGACACCTGACCTTTTCTCCCAGACACACATGCACGCGCGCATACACACACACACACACACAAATCTGAGACCAGTCATCAGTTAAGAGCATGGGGGGGCTGTTCTAGAGGACCTGGGTTCGAGTCTCAGCTCCCACATTGCTGCTCACAACAGTCTGTAACTCCAGTTTCAGGGGCGCCCATACCCTCTTCTGGCCTTCTTGGCCACCCATGCATATGGTACACAGATATGAATGCAGGCAAGACACCCATACACATGAAAAATAGTAAAATTATATATACGAATTTTTACAAGGCTTCTCTGTGTAGCCTCGGCCGTCCTCAAAATAGGAGATCCACCTTCCTCTGCCTCCCAAGTGCTAGGATTAAAGTTGTGTGTCACCATGCCTGGCTTTTTTTTTTTTTTTTTTTTTTTTTCAATTAAGGGTTTTTTTTTTTTTTTTTTTTTTTTTCCAATAAAGGGTTTCTTTGTGCAGCTTTGGCTGTCCTATAACTAGCTCTGTAGACCAGGCTAGCCTGCCTGTCACAGAGATCTTCCTGCCTCTGCCTCCTAAATATTTTTTTAAAGACTTTTGCTTTTTTTCAGACAGGGTTTCTCTTCGAAGCCCTGGCTGTCCTGGAACTCACTCTGTAGACCAGGCTGGCCTGGCACTCACAGAAATCTGCCTGCCTCTGCCTCCCAAGTGCCAAGATTAAAGGTATGTGCACCACCACCCAGCTAAGCATGTATTTCTTATGTAGAGGACCCAAGTTTCAGTTCCCAGCACTCACACAGGGAGACTTTCAAAGCCACTTAGAACTCCAGTTCTAAGGGACCTGTCCCTCTTTTGTGGTCTCCGTGGGCATTTTTACCTATGTGCATACACAGACACACACACACACACACAATTTAAAATAGAAACAAATCTTTAAAAAGATCCTACTTCAGAGACTGGATATCTCTGGATGTACAGTCTTTTCCTGTAACTCCCCTGACCCAGGTTCCCACCGCCTAAGCTCCATGCCAGGGTGTCTAAAGGACCTAGGAATCCATGCACGGCGGCCCTGGGAACCTCTGTATCCTGCTGCTGCCCTTGAGTGTAAAACAGGAGAGCCCTACCAAGCCCCGTTCTTGGGTAACTTCTTCCAAGGGTATTTTGCGGTGTCCTGATGATGGCTGTTCCTGCAGAGGTCTGTGGGACTCCCAGTTATCTGGCCCCTGAAATCATCCAGTGCTCCATGGACGACAGTCATCCTGGCTACGGGAAAGAGGTGGACATGTGAGTGGTGTGGGTAGTCGGGGGTGGGGGAGGTAGCCACACCACAGTCCGACACCAGGGATGCTAGGAACCACGGCCAGCCGCCCCGGCGGCGGGCCTCCCCACCCACGAGGCTAAGTGTGACGCGAGGCCCTGCCCACCCTCCAGGTGGAGCACTGGGGTCATCATGTACACCCTGCTGGCCGGCTCCCCACCCTTCTGGCACCGGAAGCAGATGCTGATGTTGAGGATGATCATGGATGGCCAATATCAGTTTGGCTCGCCAGAGTGGGATGACTACTCAGACACGGTGAAAGACTTGGTGAGAGGCCATGCCCACCTGCTCCCCAGATGTCAAGGGAGAGGAAAACATCCCAATACAAACAGGCAGCATGCCCCAGAGTGGAGAAATCTCCAGGAGGGAACCCTCTCTGTATTTGTCTCATCGCTGTTCCAAAATACCCAGCAAAAGCTACTCGAGGAAGGAAGGGTCTATTCGGGCTCACGCTCTCAGGTGTGTGAGGGGACGGACCACATCGTATCCAAAGTCAGGAAGCAGAGGGAGAGCCGGAGAGGGAGAGGGAGGAGACTGGGACTCAGTTTACTCTCTCCTTTCCCTCCAGGACCTCACCCCAGGAACCGGAACCACCCACATTTAGGGTGGAGCTTTCCACCTCAACCTACCTAACCCATCCCCCACAGGCAGGTCCAGAGATCTGTTCCCACGGTAGCTCTAAATCCCATCGAGTTGGCAATCAGGATCGATCCTCACCATCCCCCGTCTTCCCCCACCCTCCCACCCCACGCCTTCCAAAACGCGAATCCTCGGTTCCCTTGTGTTCTCACAGGTGTCTCGCTTCTTGGTGGTGAAACCCCAGGACCGCTGCTCGGCAGAAGAGGCCCTGGCGCACCCTTTCTTCCAACAGTACCAGGTGGAAGAAGTGCGACACTTCAGCCCCCGAGGGAAGTTCAAGGTACTGAAACGTCACTTTGGCCTGAGGCTCCCGAGGTCCTCACTGCTCTAGAGCCGCTGGCACCCGGCTCCCAGAGTCTTAAACCACGAGGGATGCTAGAATTGCCCCTCTTCTTGTTTTCACTGTTCCAACTCAGTTTCTGGCTGCGGGGAACGTCCGCTCACCGACTCTGTCGGCCCACATTCCTGTAGGTGCTTGTGGTCTTGGAACAGGGGCCATCTGTAGGGCACCCCCAAAGCCATCTAAGGTTTCCTGACGAGCTCCGCGGCGGGCTGAGGGTTCTCAGTGCTGCCCCCTGCAGGTGATCTGCCTAACTGTACTGGCGTCGGTAAGGATCTACTACCAGTACCGTCGGGTGAAGCCGGTGACCCGGGAGATCGTGATCCGAGACCCCTACGCGCTGCGGCCTCTGCGGAGGCTCATCGACGCCTATGCTTTCCGCATCTACGGCCACTGGGTGAAGAAAGGGCAACAGCAGAACAGGGCTGCCCTGTTCGAGAACACACCCAAGGCAGTGCTCCTCTCCTTGGCTGAGGAGGAGGACTTCTGAGGGGCTGTGGGGCACGGGGTGGGGGCGGGGAGGTGCAAGCAGAGAGGCACACCCCCAGAACTGTGAGGAGGCCTCATGCAGGTCTCCGCATGGGAGCAGGTGGCCCTACTCTGAGCTCACCCTAGATGCGCATGGTGTTCCCAACAAACTGCAGCAATCAACAGCTGGGACTGGGTGTGCAGCGCGTGCCTGTTGTCCTGAGACGGTAGGAATTCCAGGTTCTAGGCCAGCCTGGGCAGCTTAGGGATGATTACTTCAAAATAAAAAATAGGGGTGGGGATGTAACTCAGTAGTGAGCGTGAGGCCCCAAGTTCAACCCCTGGCATGGCAAAAATGGATAAATAAATCAATCCAAAGCAGCTAAGCCGTATTGGAACTTTAAGCCTTCTGGCTTCTCTACTGTGCACCTTCGTCAATGTCGCTGTTTTTTTTTTTTTTTTTTTTTTTTAAGATTTATGTATTTATATGTGTGTTTTGTACGCGTCTATATTATGTACAGCACATGGGTGCACTACCTGCGGAGCTCAGAAAAGGGTGCGGACACTGGAGTTATGGCTAGTTGGGAACCAGCCCTTCCTCTGCCAGAACAAGTGCTCCTAACTGCTAAGCCATCTCTCCAGCCCGTCTCACTTTATGGGCCCACGGTAATTGACATTTGCGGAAGTGCCAGTAGGGTGATCAGTAGTTCAAGGTCATTTTTGGCTACACAAGGAGTTTGAGTCTTGCCTGAGCTATGTGAAACCCTGTCTCAAACAATTTTGAAAAATTGGGCTCGCTGATATACATAAATGAAGAGTTTATTGACCTAAAGAAATCCAGTTCTTCTTCAGGGACATGTTTGCAGAGGTACGCAGAAGCCTCTACAAAACTAGTGCTCAGAGAAGTTTCTGACATTTGTCTTCCTAGAGGAGTACTGACTCCCACAATGCACAGCTTCACCTCGTAAATAACTTGCTCTACCATAGTGTTCTAACACTGGGCCCTGTGTACAATCCCAGCACGCAGGAAGTAGAGGTAAGAGGACTGAGGGCTTGAGACCAGCCTTGCTACAGGGTAAATACCCTGCTTCAAATGACACAGGGAGGTTAGGTTTCTTCAGAAGGGCTTCAGGCACCAGGTCATGAAGGAAGTGTTTTTCCTTCTACAGACCTTCTCAGGAAGAGTGAAAGTTGAATCAGATAGGGAGGAAGCAAAAGGGAAAGACTTAAAACCACTGTCTTTTGGAGGATTGCTCTACATATTAATGTGGTTAATGTGTTTGATTCCTTTGTCCTTTATACTGGGATTCAGAGAAGCACCAGCTCCCAGCCTTGCCCATCCAGGCCCTCCTCTTCCAGGCTACTGTAGTCTCCTCTTAAGGTTGAGTGTTCTTCTGTCCTTAGGAGGTGCTGGTCAGAGGGAAGGGGCTCAAAGGGAGGCCATCCCCAAGACTGATGAAGAAGGTGGTATCCAGCTGCTTCTGGAACATGGTCAGGGAGACACAGTACTGAGGATGGGGGCTATTTTCTCCAGCTCTGCCTGGGTGCTCACAGATCCTGCTTCAGTCGGCCTGTACTGGAAGCACAACGGAAGCCTAGGTTGTCTGAGGCTGAATCCGGAGTGTTGCCCATCCTGTAGGACAGCAGGAAAAGAGCAGACATACTGTTGGGGTCTGCTGTGAAAAGAGCTGCTGTAGTGGTCTGAATGAGAATGGCTTCCATAGAGAATGGCGGTAGATATTGAATGCTTAGTCACTAGGAACTGTTTGGGAAGGATTAGAAGGACTGGGAGGTGTGGCCTTGTTGGAGGAAGTATGTTACTAGGGATTGACTTTGAGGTTTCACAAGCCCACTACAGACCCAGGCATGGTGGTGTACACCTGTAATCCCAGCACTCAGGGAGGCAGAAGCAGGTGGATCTCTGTGAGTTTGAAGCCAGCCTGGTCTTCAAAGCGAGTCCAGGACAGCCAAGGCTACACAGAGAAACCCTGTCTCGAAAAACAACAAATAAACAAACTAAAAAACCTACAACAGGGGTTGGGGATTTAGCTCAGTGGTAGAGCGTTGCCTAGCAAGCGCAAGGCCCTGGGTTCAGTCCTCAGCTCTGGAAAACAAAACAAAACAAAAACCTACAACAGATTCAGTGTCTGTGCCTGCCTGTCCTCCCTACCCCCTGCTGCCCGTGGATCAGGATGTAAAGATCTCAGCTGGGATTCCAGCTCCATGCCTGTCTGCTCCCTGCCATGATGATCATGGACTAGCCCTCTGAAACTGTAAGCCAGCCCACAACTAAATGCTTTCTTTTATAAGAGTTGCATGGGTCATGGTGCCTGTTCACAGCAACAGCAGAGGAACTAACACAGCTGGTCTGAGGGCAAGTCTGGCTAGTGTGCCACTAGGGGTAAGGAGACAGGGTGCGGAGGTGAGTGGCCACAAAGGATCGCATGGAGGGTGATCTTAGTGACCACGGATGAGCAGCTCCTACTCTTAAGTTTAGCACAACAGCTCAACGCACCTGCAGGTGAGAGATGAGTTTCAGAGCACGCAAGGGCTGTTCTTGGTTGTCAACTTGACTACATCTGGAGTTAATGAAAACTCAAAAAATGGAGGGACACACTTGTGAGGGACTTTTGCTTAACCTGAATTAGGAAGATCCACGTCTATTTCCGAATCTTTGAGGTGGTAAGACACACCTTTAATCCAGATCTTTTGAGGTCTATTCTGGGCCACAACTTCTGTTACAATCCTTTATATGGGAAGCTTTTGTTCCTTGCCTGCTTGCTCTCACCTTGCCGGCAAGTCCATTTCTGCACTGGCATTAGAGCCTACTTCTTTGGGATTCCAGCATCTACTGGAGATCAGCTGAGACATCCACTCTGGATGTCTTGGGCCTTCTGTGCACAGGCAGCCATTGTTGGATTCGCTGGACCATAGCCTCTAAGTCATTCTAATAAACCGCCTTTATATCTACATACATATAAATTCATTCTGTAAGTTCTGTTACTCTAGAGAACCCTGACTAATACACAGTAGTTAGTCTGTGCTGACAGGCATGGCCTTACTATCTTCCGAACCTATAGTCTGAAACTACAAAGCCTGAAGAGTCTTGGTTAAGGCAGAGCAAATCAAATCTACAGTGAGTGAAGCAGAGGCCCCAGAGATTAGAAATCAACGATGGGGGCAACCACTGATCACTGTCTGAAGTGGGCATCTCCAGCACCTCCCTGACAAGATGACTGTAGTAATGACACTGATATGCAACTCCATCTCTTTCCCTCTGCCCTGCTGTGTGTGAGAAGGGAGCCTGTGAATGAGGTTGGCAGTCAGTTCCCTTAGTGCCGCTCAATCCCAGGAAGAGTCCCCATGCTGTCTCGTGTTTATTTCTCATGGTCAATAGTGCCCGCTTGCTTCTCTTACAACTTTCAGTGAAGCTTGGGAATGAAAATGTGAACTGGATACAAAGAGAGGTGGGTGAGGAAGGGACTGGAGTGAAAAATGGGATGGGGTGCAGGAGCAGCTCCTGTCTCAGCTCTGGGCCACTTGGGCCCACCCTCAGCCATGGCTACAGAGGCTTGTGGTCCCCTGACCCTTACCTGGTGGTGACCCGAGCACGGTGATTGGCTGAGCCATCTGCTGTGTCAATCCATGATGCTCCCCGGAGGACACGCATGTCCTGGCCAGCAGCTTGGTATGTGGACGCCGTCCATTCCCACACATTGCCCATGAGATCATACAGTCCTACAGCAAAGCATTAGCCCATCAGATGGGGAAATAGGGGACTCTCTCCCACCAAATACCCTGTGAGGTCAGGGGAAGAAGTTTTCTCTTGTCACCTTGTCAGACCTAGTACACAAGATCTTACTTACCATAGTTGTTCTGTGGGGGGAAAGCATTCACTGGTGACAGTCCATGAAAACCATCTTCAGCTGTGTCACCTTTGGGGAACTTTCCCTGACAAGAACAAGGGAAGTGAAAGATTTATCAGCCTGTCCCAAGGCAGGTGCTCCTGTCTCAGGGGAAAACCAGGCTCACTGCACCCTGCTGCTTCATGGGGGAAGGACAGTGACCTCAGGTTCCTTACATGGTGCTTTGGAAAGAGCACTGTCTCCACCCATCTAGGTCCTTCGTCCCCTGCCAGGGACAGAGGCTCTAGAGCCATGCTCTCCCATATGTCCTGCTTTTACTTACATACACCACCTACATCTCTTGATGTGATTTTTTTCAACTTTACTTTTCTTCTCATCAAAAGTGGGGTTCTGGGGCTGGGGAGATGGCTCGATGGGTAAGGCGTGTGCTGTGTAAACATGAGGACCTGAGTTCATATCCTGGGGACCCATATAAAAGCAGGGCATGGGAGCATGCATCTGTAACCCAAGTTCTGAGAGGAAGAAATAGGCAGATCCTGGAGTCTGGTTGGCTAGTCAGTCTATGAAATGAAGTGCTCTGGGCTGGAGAGATGTCTCAGAGGTTAAGAACATTGGCTGTTCTTCCAAAGGTTCTGAGTTCAATTCCCAGCAACCACATAGTGGCTCACAACTATCCATGAAATCTGGTGCCCTCTTCTGGCATGCAGGTGTACATGCAGACAGAATGCTGTATAAATAGCTCCAGCTTCCACTGAGAAATCCTGTCTCAAAAATACTATGGAGTGGCTATTAGGTGGCTCTGCTCCTCCAGAGGACTTGGGTTCAATTCCCAGCAAAAACACGGCATTTTGCAAATGTCTGTAGGTCCAGTTCCAGGGGATCCAGAACCATCACACAGACATACATGCAGGTGTAACACCAATGCACATAAAAATAAATAAATCTTAAAAAATATATAGCATGCAATGTGCTTGCAGAGGACCCAAGAGAACCTGAGTTCTGTTCCCAGCACCTATGTCCTGAAACTTGCTCTGTAGACCAGGCTGGCCTAACTCAGAGATCCTCTGCCTCTCTGCCTCCCAAGTGTTGGGGTTAAAGGCATGCACCACTGCCACCTGGCTAAAAATACTATTTAAAAAAATTTATTAATTTTCATTTTATGAACATTGATTGGCTTAAATCCTAAAACTATAAAGCGGAGAAGCAACCGAGGAAGCTATCATAGGGGAGCCACTAGTTTCCACACATACCTACCTGCACACACATGCACAGATCACACACATGTCCGACAAACGACAAGTGCAGCTACCTCTACCCTAGAGAAGCTCCTCCTACCCGAGGGAAGATGGCTGGGCTGTGATTTCCTAAGCACTAAGTGACAGTCTGTTACACTTCTCGCTTTTAAGTGAGTGTTGAACAACGCTGTAAGGGTGTCGGTGAGATGAAGGTCTCTGCTGCCAAAGCCCCTGACCAGCATGAGAGGAAGAGAGACCCAACTCCCATAAGCAGTCCCCTGACTTCCACAAGTGTGCCAGGCCATGCACACACCGGCATGTCATATTTTATTTTGAGACAGGGTTTTGCTACCGTACATTCACCTTCTCAGGAAGACCTTGATCTTGTGATCCCGCCTGGACAAACTGTCACCCATGTCCTGGGCCCTTAGCAGTGCTCCATCCAGCACTCTTAGTGCCACCAGGGACTGAGACAGAACCTCTTCACGGCTCAAGGCTTGGGGAGGGAGGAAGGCAGGTCTTACCTGCCACAAGTTGGTGCGGTTGGGCTGGAACCGGTTGCCCCATGGATAAAGCTGACCTGCAGGATGCCAAAGAGACAAAAGAGAAAGAACTGGGTGGAAAAGTTAATTAACTAATTAATAGGGCCAGGAAACCAGAAGAAGGCAGGAGGGGGTGAGGACGGGAGACGGACATCACTTCCTTTTATGCCATCATAGCCCTCCCCCAACCTGAGAAGCTAGATTACATGACATTGCTGGACACACAGACAATGGGAGAAGGCGAGAGGAGCCTGTTAGTTGCACTCAAAGGGCATACATCAACAGGCAGGAAGCAATCTCAGTTGTCATTTTAAAAAACTGATCATTGATATTCCCTTGCTGCCGGACAGTGGCGGTGCACACCTTTAATCCCTGCACTCAGGAGGCAGAGGCAGGAGGATTTCTGAGTTTGAGGCCAGCTTGGTCTACAGAGTGAGTTCCAGGACAGCCAGGGCTACACAGAGAAATCCTGTCTCAATTAAAAAAAAAAAAAAAAAAAAAAAACACAAATATAACCTTGTGTTCATGGAGAGTATAGATTCGCTTACATGTGGGAAACTGTTTCCATTCTAAGTCAGGGCGCAGGATGACAGACTTACGAGCAAACCAGTGATGTCTAACAGTAACTCCTCCCTCCCACTCATGGTGATGTTTCTTCCTCAGCCTATCAAGTGTTGTAATTCCAGGCATGAGCTAACAGGCCTAAACAGTGACTCTTTAACTCCTAGTGGAAAGGAGGTGAAGTTTTTGGTAGCTCTTCTTTGCCCCTAACCTATATTGTTGTAATTATATTTTTTTAAATGTAATTAAGCTAAATGTGGTGCCTCACAGCTGTTATCTTCTTTTTGAGACTGGTCTCACTATATAACTCCTGCAGGAGGATTGCTGGGCTACAGAGGGAGAACCTTTCTATCTCTTTCTCTATATATGTCATATATCCCCCCCCCCCATTTTTTTCCTTTAGTCAGGGTTTCTCTGTGCAGCCCTGGCTGTACTGGAATTCACTCTATAGACCAGGCTGGCTTTAAAGTCACAGAGATCCATCTGCCTTTGCCTCCAGAGTTCTGGGATTTAAGGCCTGTGCCACTATGTCTGGCTTTCTAAGAGTATTTTTTTTTTTTTTATTTCTTTATTTTACATATGAGTGCTCTATTTGCATGTACATCTGCATGACAGTAGAGGGCACCAGATCTTATTATAGATGGTTGTGAGCCACAGTGTGGTTGCTGGGAACTGAACTCAGGACCTCTGGAAGAGCAGACAGTGCTCTTAACCTCTGAGCCATCTCTCCAGCCCCCTCTAAGAGTATTTTTTAAAATAGTTTATTTTTATTTTATGTGCTTTGGTGGTTTGTCTGAGTGTCTATCTATGAGAGAGCGTCAGATCTTAGAGTTAAAGACAGTTGTGAGCTGCCATGTGGGTGCTGGGAACTGAACTGAGGTCCTCTGGAAGAGCAGTCATTTCTCTTAACCACTGAGCCATCTCTCCAGCTCCTCTAAGAGTATTTTTTAGGGCCTCAAGATGGCTGAGCAGTTAAGTATGTTTGCCACTTTTCCAGAGCATGTTAGTTCAGTTCCAGGATGCACATCTGGCAACTCACAAACATCTGTAACTCCAGTTCCAAGAGACCCAGTTTCCTCCTCTGGCCTCTAAGGGCACCTGTACACATGACACATACACAAATGAAAAGGAAAAATATTTTAAAGGAATAAAAAATTTAATGTATTTTTTTAATTAAAAAATTTAAATTGTTTTATGTGTATGCATGTTTTGTCCACATGTATGTCTGAGCACCACATGCACACAGTGCCCATGGAGGCCAGGAGAGGTCATCTCATCTCCTGAATTGGAGTTGTAGATGGTTGTAAGCCACTATGGGGGTGCTGGGAATTGAACCCAGTTTCTCTGGAAGAGCAGACAGTGCTCTTAACTGCTGAGCCCTTTCTCCAGCCCCCTAACATCTGTTTTTCTCTCCAGCCTTCTGACGTCTGTTTTTCCAGTTTTTAGTGTTTACAGCATGATGTGACTGATCTAAACCTAAACCAACTCAGAGATGAAATCTCAGAACAGCAACTGGTCAGTCTGGCAGTGATGCAGCTCTGAAGGGAAAGGCCTCCCTTACAGAAGTGTTAACAGCCCTGCCCCTGCTGCTGCAGGGCAAGGTTTCCCCAACACAAGTGCCAAGAGTTCTGCTCCAGGAGGAGATGGCTTCCCCAGTAAAAGTGTTACAGCTCTGCTCCAAGAGGTACCCTGGCAATCGGGAGCCAAGGGATCACTGAACACAACAAACCTTACACTCATTTATTGAAAGGGAGAAACCCCAAGGGTGGCCTCCTCTGTTTGGGCAAGAAGCAGCAGAGAACTGAGCAGAAGGCAAGATTTATATAGAATATAAACCTCTGGGCAGCTCAGAGACTGTTTCGAGATTGTTTAGGGCTCTTCGCCCTTTTATTCTACACTGTCACCCACGTTAAAAATCATTAATGTAACCCGGAGAGTGGGTGCGCACACCTTTAATCCCTGCACTCGGGAGGCAGAGGCAGGCAGATCTCTGTGAGGCCAGCCTGGTCTACAGAGTGAGTTCCAGGACAGCTAGCGTTACACAGAGAAACCCTGCCTCAAAAACAAAACAAAATTTTAAAAAATCACTACTGTAGGGGACTCGGATCTTCCCCACCCTTTCAAGACAGGGCAGGAAGATGAGTAAGAGAATGGCAGTGGTATCCACATTACCCTTCAAGCCCCCTCGGGCCGCAAACTCCCATTCCTCTTCTGTAGGCAACCGTTTCCCCCTCCACGTGCAGTAAGCACCAGCGTCATTCCAGCTCACGTGTACCACCGGAAGCTCCAGTTTCTCTCGGATTCCAGAGCCGGGACCTGCAGGCTGACAGCCAGGGTGAAGTGGGGCAGGTTTCTGAGATCTCGATAAAGGCTGAAAAGGGCTTGGCTTGGGGTGACTCAGTTCAGCTTTTACACCGGTTAGAGGAAGGAAGTCGGGAAAGATGGCTCGGTGAGTGAGAACAGTGGTTGCACACACCTGTAATTCCAGCACTCAGAAGGTTGAGGAAGGAGGAGCCGGGGCTATGGAGTGAGGTGCCATTGGAGAAGAGGGAGGAGGGAGACAAAAAGATTCCTCAGTAAAGAGAGCAGTAGGTAATAAAGCAAGAAACTAGAGCAGAGGGAACAAGGTTACTCCTGAAATGCCTAAGTAGCTCCTTAAAATTCATTCCCGGCAGGGCGTAGTGGCGTATGCCTTTACTCCTAGAACTCAGAGAAAGAGGCAGGAAGATCTCCGAGTTCCTGGCCAGCCTGGTCTACAGAGCCTGCTTCTGGCCAGTTAGGGCTACACAGAGAAACCTTAAAAATAAAATAAAATAAATAAAAACAAATAGAAGCACCACTTCAGTATTCCTGGACAAGCTAGAATTGGTTTAGAGAAGCCAAATTTCATGAATGAAATTCCGCAGTGGTAGAAAATGAGGCGGAGGAAGCAGTACTCACCTGCCTCCAAAATGCCTTTTGTACTGGTATCCACCATAGAAGAGACTGCAAAGACAGAAACAGCATGAGTGCAAGACAATCTGACCCTAGCAAGGACCCTTCTTGACTCACCCTGGAAGCAGAACACAGACTGTGGGCTGTGGAAGAAATTATTTTATTTTTTTTGAGACAGGTCTCACTATGTAGCCTGGATGGCCTGGAACTCACCACGTAGAGGGGCCAAACTCAGAGATCCCTCCACCTCTGCCACCTCTGGGACTGAATGTATACTTGACCACACCTGGCTATAGATGGAATCTTTTTACGGTGATATTCTGACCCGGGTACGGAGGTGCACGCCTGTAATCCTAGCACTCAGGGAGGCAGAGACAGACTGGTCTACAAAGTGAGTCCAGGACAGTCAAAGCTACACAGAGAAACCCTGTCTCAAAAAACAATAAATAGGGGAGAGGGACAGGGGAAAAAAAAAAACAATAAATAAAGAAATAATGAATCAACCAAACACAAATAAATAAAGTGATATTCTGGAGTTGGGTGTGTAGCTAAGTTGGCAGAATGCTAGCCTAGCATGCATGAAGCCCTGGGTTGGGTCACCAGCACTGCATAAACCCAGGAGGACAGTGTACACCTGTCCTCTCAGCGCTTAGGAGGCAAAGGCAGAAGGATCCAGTGTTTCAGATCATCTTTCACTATATAGTGAATCTCAAAAAACCATAAAAATAAAAACAAACAAACAAAAAAACCCAAAAACAAAATACCTAGAGCAATGCTGGGCAGTGGCAGCGCACACCTTTGATCCAGCACTTGGGAGGAGGCGACAAGTGAATCTCTGAGCTCAGTGCCAACCTGGTCAACATCACGAGCTCCAGGGTCTATACAGTGAGACATTGTCACAGAACAAAGAAACAAAGACATCCCCACCTACATAAAACACAATAAAGCTAAAGTGAAGGGCTATCTTTTTCTTTTTGTCCTCTCTTTTTT